AAAAAAAAAAAAAAAAAAAAAAAAAAAAAAAAAAAAAAAAAAAAAAAAAACTCACTGCATCCAGCCTCGTCGGTGCCGTCGACGCAGTCGACAACCCTGTCGCATCGCTGGTACGGCGGTACGCAGTATATCTTGTTGAAGTTGTACTGGCTGCAGGTGAAGTGACCGGCTTCGCACTCGGGTGGAGCTGGAACGAAATGAATATTTATATATATATAAAATATATACGTACATATATGTAGTAACCAATAGTCTGTATAATGTATTGTAAGGTTGCACGCCGGGGAGCCGCAACATTGAAATGTAAGACGAGGCGGTGTGGCGCGCCGTGGGTTATGAATTTATTAAATAATCGGACCGATTAGGCTGGAAAACTGGCTCTCTCTCGGTCTACTTACGGGGCGCGCGACGCGTGACCTTATTTTCCCCGCGGCAATGATATCGAGTCTAGTATATGTAGAGAAAACTCGGGTGTTACGTTTATATGTACAATCTATGTGTACTATATTATATACTCGCTCGTTGATTGCACCTCGCGTTAATTATGTTTTAATGGGTATATATTCATTCACTAATCCCTGTACGGTATACATGCCAACCCCCACACGTAAAATGGCCTTTTTTGAGATATGTTTCTACAAGTGCCATTTTTTGAGATTTAGAAAAATAGACGCTCAAGTTCATTCGTATAGACTTTTATTTTTTTGGCATTACCTGACTACAGCAATTATACAGCAAAAATTATTTACGCGGATTAGTGTTGAGTATCATGTTTATGTTATCGTCAAACCCTTTAATCAAGTTCCCTCGAAATGAGGGTGTGATGAGAATACACAAATTTACGGAAATCTAAGCTCAAAATATCTAACAATAAAAGAAGAAAAAAAAACGGTAAATGACCAAAAAAAAGTATTATTTTTGAGGTTGTTCCGATTTAAAAATTGATTTTCATTAAATATCAAGGTAAAAATCTCAATTTTTCTTTAAAAAATCGGAAAAAAAATCTGTATATGTATCTATTTCTATATGCGCATTAAATACACAAAAAAAAAAAAAAACTCACGGCAGGATTGAAACTCGTCCTCGGCGTTGTCGCAGTCGCGTTGGTAATTACACACGTAGGAGGACGGTATGCACTTGCCGTCTTGGCACTTGAACATGCCCAGAGAACAGCCGGTGCTGGTGTCGCCGACGGTGCCGATGACGCTGCTACCACCCGGACCGCTGCCATTGCCTGGAACTGTATAGACAAACAAAAAAAAAATAAAAAACATGATTACTATATTATTCACAATTAACACGGCTCTTTGTCCCGTGTACGTATACGGAACGCCTCTCCTTCGACACATGTATAACAAATTTCGCATTCATCTCTCCATCGCACGTATACATATATATAATACAGCACACAAAACGCGCGCGCTCACGGGTGAAAGGTTCAATGGCTCCCAGTAAGTACAACTGTGACGTATCTATATATATTGTACACTGTGTATATGCAAGAGTTGATTTCTTTGTCTCGGGCCCCCCCTTTCGTATATTAGCGTGGCTGTGAATACCTTGATTGTACCACCACTCTATATATGTGTACAGGTATATTTTCAGGAAGACAAAATAATTACTCTCGACTATTGTGCATAGGGTATATTTTACGCGAGTTGATAAAAAAAAAAAAAAAAAAAAAAATAGCGTCTCCAATCAACAATTGTCCGGGATGGTAAGTAATCGTGATATATTTCCGCGGATCATAAATAATTTTTGTGGTGGGTCGTTAGCACGCGCCCAAGTGTCAACTACACGCTCATGCATGTAAAACGATTGTAATCTGCGCGGGGCTCTGTAATTTAATTTCCGCGTGTGTCGCGACCCATTGACGCGATGAATCCTCCAAACGTGGTTTACTTGTGTGAGACATTGGCTCCTTTTTTTTTTTTTTTTTTTTTTTTTTCCAAAGGGAGATTGTGGTGTCTCGGTACACTTTGCATCGTTGTTTCTCGCCAAATTGGGTCAATCGAGCTGGGAAAAAGTAAGCCTTTTGTACCATCACCGACTACTCACATGACTGTATAATATGTACAGGGGTGGACGGTATTTGACAAAGTTGACATACATAATTATACTTTTGAATTGAAATATTTCAAGTATGTAAAAATTTACAATAGCATATTTATTTGTATTATTTGAAACACAATTATTTTGATGTTTAGTTTAAAATTAAAAAAAAAATTCAACTACCCTTGTATTTTTCAAACACAGTACTTTTGACTGAATACAATTGTACCTATTTTAAAGTATTTCACATTCAAAAAAAATTGTGTTCAAGGTATGCAAAGTGTTTAAATGAAAACTACGTATTTGTTAAAATAATTTCATGTAATTGTGCCAACGATTTCATTTTCAATCCAATGGTATTTAATTAGTAAAACAATTTTTTTGGTTTTTATTTCTTTTTTTTCAAATAATAACAAGTACGACGAGGTCCAATTCCGATTGTACAGTGGAGGGGAGAGTAATCGTAGTGTGGGAAGGGTAAACACGCGGAAACGATCGGTCTCGGGAAATGGAGTTTATCAATCGAGGAAATACCGCGGCTGTATACGGTTGAGACCAAAAAGATCCCGCTTGCAGAGAGCGAAAATCGGATGAAATCGGCACACAGCCGCGCAACGTTGCATCAGTGAGGGCCGATCTCGGGCTACTGCGGCTTTTGCGGGAGCAGGTAATCTCCTTTTTTTTCTTTCTTTTCTTTTTCGTCTTTTCGACATAGTCTCGGAAAGAGTTTTTTCCCCCCTCCGCCATCCTCGGAGGAGCGAAATTCAAATCAGGAGGTTACGAAGGCAATTTAATCGAAGCTGTAGCGCAACGGGACGCGAAAATGACTCAAAAGCGCGCAACGTGCACCCCAGCCAAGAGAAGCTGCCAAATTGCGTCCGACCGAGATGTTTACTTTCACTTGGCGGCGGTGCCGTGGCGTTTACCGATTTTCGCCTAATGAAATCGGCAAAAGAATAATAACATAAATCGGCAAACGCTCGGAGCCAAGAAGAGAAAGAGATTTCGTAGTGCACGTGCCAACACACGTCACAATGCGCTATTAGCGTCGAAGAGGGCACAGCTTGGAGCGTAACCTCTCGAGAGGGCAAAGAGAGGAGTATCTCACCGAGCTTGTGTACAAAGGCCATGCAGGCAGGTGGAAAGGTGCACAACCGATCTCTTTTTCCCAGGGGGGGGGGGCTGCGATTACGCAACCGGCATCTTTTTTTTTTTGGATGATCAAATTCTCGCTTTTGATTGGCAAATTCCTGCGAAACAAGCGTGTACCTTCTCTATTTACTTTTTCGCAACCTTCCCGGGAATTTTCTCGGCGATTGTTGGCGCGGCTGGAAAATTCATACGAATAAAAACTCCAGGCGCTACACAAACAAACCTTCCAAAGAGGCACCCCAATCGTCAAATGCGCGCAATGCGACGTTTCCTGTTTTCACCGCGGCCCAACGAACAATGGGCTCAATCATCATCCGCGAATTACATAAATTCCCCCCCCCCTTCCACCACCGATCTCGTTTTGTTTATCCGTGTGTTAATTGCGGTAATTTTTTTCTCTCTTCCTTTTGTCCCCGATGAGCCCAAAGTTGTTATTTCGGACTGACCGTTGTCGAGGACTTTCATACGTGTATAATATCTTTTTTTTTTTTTTTTTTTTTTTTTCATACAAGTCCCCGAGTGAGTCAGCGCGACTACAATCGGATTCAACGAAACCACACAAATATACTATTCAGTTTGGCTTAAGTGCAATCATCCGATCAAGCGTACTTTTATCGCTCTCTCTCTCTCTCTCTCTCTCGCTTCTTTGACCGTATATTATATGATGTATGTCGTACTCGCGACGCTTTTATTTGGTGGGATGAATGGGATTTGGTGACTGATTGAATTAGACTTAGGGTATAGCGAGTGTAGTGAAAAATCGCTGGGTTCCCTTCATCTGGTATACACCACTGCGGATACATCTCATCGATTGACACGTTTCGATTTTTATTGCATTGTTTAACGAACAAAGGGCCATTTTTTATCCCCCCAAAGTATGTATATAAATGGAGACAGATTTATTGAGAATTAACAGGAAAAAAAAAAAGGTTCGCCAATCCCAGCAAACGATTGTTTCGATACAAACAGAAAAATATCTATTTCAATGTAATAAATATCTTGTTAAATCTATATTAACTATTACGTTATAAAAAAATATATACATATTTTGGTTTAAGTTAGTATTGTTTGATTCAAACACACAATAAATAAATATATATTTTATTCGTACAAATATTTATTCATTTTTTTTTTTTTATTTCCACGCAAACAATCGTTTATTCGGATATTGGGTTTGATGTTATTCTTCAAAGTGACAAAAAAACTCTTTTAATAAAAAAAAAAAAATTAATTGAGATATCCCGAAAAGAAAGGATAGAAGCAAAACGGCGTAAGAAAGGCACGTCAGGTGTATACATTATACACCCAATAGTATACACGCAAGTGAAAGAGCAAAGCGGAGGCGACGGTGTCGAAATAGAATGGCACGCCGCGACCTCAGCCCCGCGAGCTCCTCTTCGTATACACACAATCATCCGCGTTCCAGGGGTACATATATATTAAATAGCTCGTGTATATATATATATGTATGTGCACATATTGCGCCACACGCCAAGTACATGTATACAATATTCCTCTCTGCCGCCAAAGTTGCCGATCATCCGAGGAGGATCCCTTCACGCCCCTGCAGTGCAAAAGAAAGAAAAGATCTCGCGTGTTCCTTTGTGTGCCATATTATGACCGAGGCCCCCCCTCCCTCCCGGGGGGTTTTATAAACGCGCGGATGAAAAGAGAGCGCACAAGTTTAGTATAGACAAACGTGCACGTGTATGCATGTACAACGTATTGTTCGTCGATTGAGTTACGAGCAAGGAGCGCTCAATGTATATATATATAACGCGCCTCTCGGGCCGTCGCGCTTTGCATGTGTCGCTTGTTTTTTTTTTATCCTCTTGGAAGTTTGTCTTCCAGCCGATTTTTCGGGTATACTTGCACCGCTTTTCCTCCCGCCCTGGACAAATGGCCCTTTTATCTCCGCGATTCTCGGCTCGTAGGGAATGTTTGCCAACAGGTAACTCGGGAGGATGGAAAAATAGTCGAGATAATGCGGGGGGGGGGAGAGAAAAATGCCTGTTGGCACACCACACAGGGACGGGGGAAACGCAGGAGCGTGACGGCAAACAAATTAAAACGTCATCGGTGGGCGCACGCGGAGTGGAATATTATTGTTACGCTAGAAAAAAAAAAAAAAAAAAAAAAAAAAAAGTATGAACATAGGCACCTGTACAATTGTGCTTGGATATATTATATTAAGGCGAGAAGAGAGTGTGCACACATGAAAGAACAAAAAATTGAAACGTCTTGTACAAAAAGTATATGAGAGATAAGAGACGCAAGGTATTATGTATATTAAAAGCCGAGTCGGGGAGTATATCACAAGAGGAGTTTCTTTGATTGGGATGATTTTTCGAGCTCTCGGCACTGCGTATACGTGCACCGCGTGTAAATTGTTCGCGAAAATCAAAGTCACTCGTTAGCTTGTTTTGAGCTATATATATATATATATATATGTGTGTGTGTGTGTGTGTGCATGGGTACATGCCTACCGTATTTGCGTTGGAAATATACGGCGGAGGTAAAATATCAAGGAAATTCCAGTGCGCGCGTGAAGGTATCATGTACAAAGAAACGCGAGAAGAGTACAAGTACACATTGCAGCGCATATATGTATATA